CCCGTGAATGGAAAGCGACGCCATATTAACGAGAACAGCGCGTGCGCAAATCAGCATGCCAGCGATTTAGTACTGGGAACCAAACTATTTAGTTCGTAAACATGAAAGCGTCAAATATATTTTTTGGTAGAGCCAACTAAAATTCCCGATTTATTGACACTTTCTATTCTGTTAGGACAACCGTATTTTAGTAACGCCAACTAAAAATGATCAACTAAATTATTTTCTTATTATTACGAAATTATTTTTCTCATACAGATAGAAATTTATATTGTCACGATGTTTAATATTTTGACATTTACATTAATACTAAAAAAATTTACAATTTTATAAGTTTAAGTTTATGTTTTAAAACTGTTTTAAATTAGAGTAATAAAGTATATACTGAGAAAAATGTTTAGTCAGAGCAACCAAAATTTGGTAGGGCCAACAAAAAAATTTTGTATTTTTTAATTTTGTACTTAAGCAACTAAACTATTTGTTTGAGTTAACCAAAAAATTTAGTTGAGTGTTTTTATTTATTATATATATTATATATATATTTATTTTATTATTTATTTATTATCAATTTAACGTTTAATTTATATTTATTCACACGCATAGAAAAAATTTGCTGTGGCAGTGAATTATTTGCTACCGCACATCAAATTACGTTAGCTACTATAGGGACAGCGAACAAATTTGCTGTGAGGTTAAAAAAGTTTGCTGTGACAGTAAATTTTTAAAAATTAAGACTGATATTGTTTGTCATAGCAAATTTGCTATCTGATCTATCAAAATTAGTAACCACAGCTAAATTCTTTGCTATGATAAACAATATCAGTCTTAATTTTTAAAAATTTACTATCACATCAAACTTTTTTAACCCCACAGAAAAGGGGTCGTCCATAAATTACGTAGGACTTTTTTCTGGTCATTTGAACCCCCCCCCTTCCCTATGTAAGATTTTTTACATGCATTAGCGCCATTTTTCCTATTGGTCGTAAGAAATACTTGACCCCCCCTCCCCCCTAATTTTGGTTAGGACAACAAACGATGATTTGGTTTTTTAGAACAAACTATTTTGTTGTTGTAACCAAATTTTGGGTCGAATTTAAAAATATTTAACTAAATTATTTTGTTGGCTGGCTGGCTTGCGGTTACAAGAACCAAAATTGCCTAACCAAACGATAATTCTAAATTTTGAATTAGTAAAAAAAAAAAATTTGCATAAAAATGTTAAATTCTTTTTCTTCAATTCAAAATAGTACACTCTAAATCTGAATCAGTGAAAATTCCACTGAATTCAAATCAGTGGAATTTTCACTGATTTAGATTTAGAGTGTAGGTATTTCTGCATTTAATTTTTTTAATAGTCATAAGATTTTTTTTTATTATGAGCCGAAAGTTTTGAACGTTCATATGAACGAAATATTTTTTTCAATCTATAAATTATTAAAAATTATGATGACCATGTGAAATAAAACAGTTAATTAAACAATTATTAAATTAATAACTTCTTTTTAGATATTTTAAACAATATTTTGTAATAAAATTCGTACTTAAAGAAGCAGCAAAACAAATTTCGTTCATATGAACGTTCAAAACTTTTGACTCATTTTTTATTAAAGTTAAATTTAAAAAAAAAACTCGAGATCAAATTTTTTATTTTTAAAATAATTTTTCCAACTTTCAATTAATGGTACATCTAATTCGATTGTTTATATAACGGGATACAATTGTTTTTATACAATGACACACAAATTCATAAAAAGACAAGAGTTCCCAGACAACTCGTCTAGAAATTCCAAGGTTTAGAAATTTTTTTTTTTTTTTTTAAAAAAAGAGAAAATAAGTGGACTTTGTGGGACATTATTTTATCCTAAGTAGACACTGATGAGACGGATCACGTTCAAAAGAAAAAAAAGAACATATAGTCCCTCTGAGTCTATATACTAAATCTACGTTTCTATTGCTATCTCATTAACAGTGATTATATTCATGAGAAAACATTACTGTCACGAAACAGTGAATTACAATTTGCTAAAGTTACGTGATAATTAGCTCACTTTAATTATAGGTGTATATATAATATAACGTGCCAGTCAATTTGATTAATATTCATATTATACAATTTTTATATTCCAACATTGTAAAATATAATTAAACTTAAGGTGTTTTCGGGGTCGCTGATTATGAATCTAAAATTAGTTTTTAAAAATTCAAAATGTGGGAATCAATATCGCGGAAAAATTGACAAGTTATGATCGAAAGAAAATTTTGTGCGAGAAAACAATGAAAAATTAAAATTATTATTATTATAACAGTAATTAATAAATATTTCTTACCTTGAAAGCAATCAGCAAGTAATTGATTTTCATTCCAGAGTTGATTTTTGAATATTATGATTTTCTTCTGCACGGAAAAATTTTTCGTATTCATCTTCTTATCACAAGATGGCGCGATTTTAAAAATTTAAAACACTCCCGAAATGATAATTTAATTTAAAAAAAAAATGAAATTATATTTTTAGTATCATTAATAATTATTAATGATACGAAAAATATTTGTCATAATTATAATTTTGTAAAATATATTCAAATACTTTCAGTATAAAAATATTTTAAATTGCAAACAAAATTTAGTATAAATTAATTATTAAGTAATTTATAAAAAAAATAACGAAAGTAAAAAAATTAAATAATCGCATTTTTATAAAAAAAAAATTACACTGCATTGTATTTCTATAATTAAAGAAAAAACTTGAAAATATAAGGCGTCATTCGCGTTCTTTGTTAAAATTTACGCACAGTACAATAAACAAACACGTTTCAACATCACGAGGCACAAATTTGCAACTGATGAGTACCAATTAAATTTCACGTGAATTTACAATCCGCTTCTCGATTTCAGGTAAACGACCTTTTATTATTATTTAAACGTAAACATATACCGCACGGGGTGTACAATTATGCTTCAAAGTATATAATAAACACAATTTAAATACTATTTCATTTAAATAATTTGTCAAGCTAAATAAAATATTTCAATGCAATTTATTCTAAAATTCACCGATATTATAATAATAATATAATATTATATAATTAGTATAATAATAATATTATAAAAAAAATGAAAAGAAACATTTTTTTAAAAAAATAGTTATAAATTTATTTATAATTAAAAATTATAATTTGAACAAATTTCTTTTAGAATAAAATATTATTTATCTATGTAATATTTTATGATAATTTTATTGAGAATAATAATAAAAAGAAATCTAAATTTATTTACTTCAATGTTGCAAATTTAGGAGTCATAATTTAAAGAAAAATTATATTCAATGTCAAATTTTAATGTTTTAAACATTAAAAATAATTTTCTGTCTCCAAAGATGATAATATCTGATAAGATAAATATATCCTGTAAGAGATATAGAATTTTTATGTAGCTATATTGCACAAGTGAGTTGTTGAAACGTGTTAATCCTTATCAACGTGAGATCTTACATTTAAATACGAGATTATTATCACATTAAAGCAAACGTTTAAGCTGATGTTGAAAAATCGGTTTATGTTATCTGTTGTAAAGTTCACCATTAATTTATTAATCCATTGCAATGAAGGAATGCAATCTGAGATTCTTTTTCGCAGAAACGAGGGGCTGTTCACTGAAAATCCAATTGAACAATATTTGAGAATTCATTAAAGATTTTTAAGGATTGCTAGTCATTTTTGTAATTCCTATTTTGAAATTTAGGGAAATAGTGCTTTAATTTTATTTGAAGTAATTACTTGCAAGAGTAAGATTGCAAGAAAAATAGATTAATTGTATAATTCGCCGCCGAATTCGCTCGTATGTCTCCGTAACCATTCGTGACTCGCAACAATTCTTACTGCATGATTTAGAATTTTACTGGAATCGACGAGATTCGTTTGGATTCGCATAGTATTCGACAAATTCGAACGTCCTTTTCAATAATCGTCGGTAATCTCCAATTAAAATACAATATATTCAGAATCAAGAGATTTACATTTTCTTATGTTAATTGATGAATATTCGGAAGATACCTAGTATATTCTCTACATTACAAATCGGGTATTCGAGAGTGAACAGCCCCTCGCGCAGAAACTATTAAAACGACTTTTTAATATTGTATATATAGTTTAAACAATGTACTATTTTTTTATAAATATTCAATTTTTTAGAAAATTTTTAAAAAGAAAACCAGAGAAATTAAAAAAGAAAATTTATAGTTAATAGAAAAATAATTTAAAAAAAGAAAAAAAAATATTCATTCAAATATCCATATATCATGAATTCAAAAAGAATTAACTATCGCGGGACTTAATCGCATTTTGATAAGTATAATTATACTAATTTTATTACACCCATAGTCGCCATAAAATATTCTTTAATATAAAATATATCGAGGTAGAGGCAATTTTTCTCGAGGTCTCGGCGCGTTCATCAAAGCGATGAAAGGTTCGCTCCTAATAAAGTTGGAAAGTAATGCTGTAGCAGCAGGTTTTGTCGAAAATGGAAGATCACCGAAGAGACCACAGTGTGTAGAGTGTTCGGTAGGTAATTAAAAATATGTTAATTTGCCGCAAACGCTAATTGGTTTTTGACTAAATTTTTAATTAAGTCTTAAAGCTGATTGGGGCGGCAAACACACTGATTTATCGAAGACTTTGCGGAACCCCCCTCCTCCCCCTTTTTCTTTTAGCTAATTATAAATAAAATATCTCAATATATATATATATATATATACGTGTTGAATTTTACTCTTTCTCCCTTCATGTAAATATTATATACACATATATATATATCGTTAATGAATATTGACAAAAACGCATATATGCTAAAAAGCGAGCTAAAAAGAATAATTAGTCTCTTGATGCAAAATAAATTAGTCAAATTAGTAATGAACTAATTATAATATTATTGAGTTTTAAATTAATGATGATCTTCGAATAAATATATATAATGTGATTGCAAAGAAACAAGAAGAGACGCAGTTAAATATTGAAATCACTTTTATTTCACTATAACATCATTCCATGGATAAATTATCAGTTTACATTTATACAGAGCGTGCAGGAAATACTGCTTTATTTTCATAAATGTTTTTTTTTTCAGCTTTCCTGCTTTCGTATTTGTCTGTTCTTAATCATCATACATGTAGATACATAATTTACATATCTGCGTTTTCCCTCACACACATACACACATATATATACACAAAAATTACAGGATGTTTCATTTGTGACTGTAAAATATTTTCCCTTTTTTTGACGTGCGCATTATTATTTTGGTAAATCTTTCAACAGAGGAAAAAATATATTTGGATTTTTTATTATTCGAAAGGAAAATATAAAAAAAGTCTACAAATTATATTGGTTTAGAGTTCCAATTCACCCTGCACATAATATCTGTACTATTTAATCAGCGTATAGAGACAACTATTTACATATGTACATTTTACATGTACTTTGCATTAATAGAGATCAAGCGCAAATGCTTTTTCTTGTTTTTTTTTTTTTTTTTTGTAAATGCTTTCAACGCGGTGATCACTACGATAATACCAAACATTTTGTTTTTTTTTTATTCCGAATTTTGTTCTATTTTTTTTTAGTTGAATTTTGCAACATATCAAAAAAAAGAGGATGTCAATAAATTTAATTTCTAAAAATATGAATGTTAATTTAAGAATTAAATTTTTTTTAAATACAAAACAATTTGGAACTTGAAATATTATGGTTTTTTTTTTTAAATATTGCGAATCTTTATGTTTTTACTCATCTTTTCATAATATACCTAATGCATTAATGTAGGAGATTTTTAATGTTATTATATCTTCTTTTACATTAAACGAAAGAGAAATTTTTCTTAAAAAATATAATTTTATATAGTATACAAAAAGTATAAAGAATTTTTCTTTTTTCGCCACTAAACAAAAAAAGGAAGAAATAAAGCATTTAAAAAAAATTAAATCTATTTTAATTTTTAGCATTAAATTTTGCGTAAAACAATTATTTAAGTTCTAATATTTTGTCCACCCTGAAAAAACATGTGCGGAACTGTCGAATCAACCGAGGCGACATAAATACTTTCTCATCGAACACAGCTGGTCTTATGGAAGTCCAAGTCTGTGGAAGTCATTACTCGTTAGACTGCATTCGTTAACTAGCACATTAAAAACCGTATTAAAGTTACATGCAGGTATCATAAAAGACCATTTTAGTGTGTGTAGAGTAAAAAAAAAGAAACAAATTCGTTCGACATGTTTTTCGTTTTTTTTTTTTTTTTCATTTTTCAGTCTCTTTGGGCATGTACAGTATTAGTGGAGTTTCATTGGATAATTGAAATTAAAAAAAAATAGGTAATCATCTTTTTCGAAAAAAAAACAGTGTGTCTGATAACCGAAAAGGAAGCGTAAATTTTGTATAAAAAAAAATTTGGAATTTGAGAAACAGATATACATAATTTACAGAAAAAAAAATATTTATTAAAAATGCCCTATTTGCGATCAGAAATTATAGCCGCACTTTCTCCTTATTTTCAATTGAAACATGAAAATTTATTCTTCCGCATTTGAAAGCATATATATGCAGTTAATAAATTGATAAAAGTGTTCATTTGATAATCATAAATATTGAAGAAAGTGTCAATTCAGTAATAATATTAACATATAAACCGAAAAGCAAATTACAAAACCCGTTTTGCCTTTTCCTTAAAGCGGCGCTTCAGACAAATAATTAAATCATTGCGAACAAAATAGTTGTTTGACTTAAAAAAAAAAAAGGAATTCAATTTGTTATACAAATTAAAAATAATTCGCAAATATTTAAAAATTTTAATTATTATTAGGCGATCAATTTTTTAATTATTCAAAAACAATGAATAATTAAAAAATTTTGAATTTTTTTTCAGAATCTAAAAATTATATAAAAAAGGATTGACATACCAAAACTCCACTTAGAAAATTATCACGAACTATTTATGTGTAGCCTCGAAAATTAATAATAAGTAAATTTATATATTATCACGTTTTTTTTTTTTGTATCAGGTTCGAACCTTATTTATATGAAGGTCTATTATGGACCTCAATCTCAAGGTCTGTGTCCAGGAGGACCCATGAACATAGCTGCTGCAGCTGCAGCATGCGAATGCCTTGCCATTGCTGCTGCTATAAATGGTGGAACTGCCGATGATCCTGGAGGTACAACTCCCGAAAACATTAATCCTGAACCAAAACTTGGATGTAAAAGTGGCCTCGCCGATAGCCTGAGTTTTTCAATTTCCGCCTCCTGCAATCGTTTCGCCTTCGCTCTTCTATTTTGAAACCATATTTTCACCTGAAACAAAAAAATTCGGTAAATTTTATGTTTAACATTATTATATAAAAATTATTTTCTACTTAAAAAATTAACAATTTTTTTTGTAAAAAAAAGAAAAAAGATATTATAGTAAAATAAGTAAATCAAAATTTTTTTTTTGTTTTTTAAGAACAATTTTTTCCCAGAAAAAAATACGCTCAAAGAAAAATTTGTCTCAGAGTAAAATAAATATTTTAATTGATTTAAATAAAAAATATTTGCGCTAAATACAATTTTATTTGTGTTAAATAATTTTTTTTTAAACAAATAAACAGTTGTTAGACTTTGAGATTCATATATTTTTATTTGATTCAAATCGAGTTCAAATGAAATAAAAATAAAATCTAAATTTTTTGTCGCTAAAATCAAATTTATAAGATCACTGAAAACTGAATTCCTATATTTTAAAACACGTTTTAAATTCATTAAACAAATTAATTATAAATTTTATCGAATTAGTATATATATATATATATATACTTTTAATTTTCACTTTTCCATCACGTAGTGAGAAACTATTAATATATGAATTAATAATATTTCAAAATATTTTTTTCGATTTCAAATAGAGGAATATACTCAGGGCTGGACACTTCGCTTTTCTTAGAATAAGAACACTAGCGCCATCTATGCACGGACGTGGCAAAGCTTCTCGTAGTGAAACCTAACTTTTTGTGCCATTACATTTTTGGAGGATCAAAAATAGCGTCTGCTGTGACGTCGGTGCATTTGTAGGAACGAAAAAAGTTTTGTGAGCGATGTGATTAAGCATAAAAAATGAATAAAGAAAACAAGAAATCGGCTATATGAGTTTATTGCATGTATTGTGGGATTCATGATTGAAGAAAAAATGAAGTGAAAAATCGAATCGCGAAACATGTCTGGTTAGGGTTAGCACAATTCGAAAATGTTACTTCTACATAGGGTTGGACACTTTGTTAATTATGAATTTGACACAATTTATAAATAAATATACAAATAAACATTGACGCACACACACAGCACATATTCTGCCAAATATATTACAAAATTGATAATAACGTTAAAAATGCAAAAATGAACTTAAAAATCATTTTCAGTAACGTTATAAAGAATATTAATTGTCAACTATAAATATTAATAATGTAAAAATGAAAAAATAAACATAAAAAACGTTTTCAGTAACGTTATAAATTTTATTTTATTTTTTTTAACTATAAATCGCTTTGATTTTTACAAAGTGTCCAACCCTGAGTATAATGTCCAACCCTGACTAGATTTTTTTTTTAAATGATCATAACTTTTTTAATTTTAGACCAATCAATTTACGATCTTCAACAAAAGTGTTCTTCTTTTGTACATCTTTCTAACAATATACCTCAATTGACTAAATTTATTTTTTTAAAAAAGATTACAGTAGGACTCGGGTTATCCGAGCTAATGTGGACCGGACCTACCTCGGATAAGGCGAAAACTCGGATAATCCGAATTGTTATTACAATTTAACATTATTATTGTTTAAACAATTATTATTTATTACAAACGGGAAAATAATATTGTATATATTCCATAAAAAAACCAGTAAATTTGCCACTAATCAATATATAAATTGAACCAATATAATGAAAAAAGCCTTTTAACGTTATATGAAGTATAATATATTACTTAAATTTTGAATTTATATTCAATCAAAATGGAAATTGAATTATATCCTGGGATAAATAATAAATAAAGAAACAAATTCAAAAGCTCCTTAATATTCTTGTAAACCTGAAATTGCAAATTTGCCTGAAATGTTTTAATTAAAATAAAAAGAAATAAAAAAAGAAACCAAATATATACATATAGTTCTATTTGCAAAATTATTGAAAACATATTTAATAATTAATATATAAGTGATTTTAAGTTTATATAATTTTCCTTAGGAAACAACTTATGCAAAATATATAGTTATGAAAATTGTATAAGAGCCAACGACAATTAATTTCTATCTTGATGGAGTTGCAAGTCTAATTTACATTATTTCCTTAAAAAAATTATAATGGAAATTGATGAACGGTATTATAAATTTATAAAGAAAAATATAAGTTTAAATATATATAAGTTTTCACATATATACAAATATTATATGGTGTCCGCGCACTTGCGGTATTAGTATAAAATATTCGTTTACTATGATAAAAAATTAAAAAATTATGCATATGTAATGATCTGCATGCATAAACATATATATAGTAATATAATATAAATGTAAGATTTCTGCTTACTGAGTTGAGATAATTTTCAAACTATATACACACATATTTATATCAATTGGCAACTTTGCTGCGATTTTACGTTTATCAGCAATGTCAATTTAGTTCCGAGATACTTTTTAATCATTATCATTTTTCAACCAGTAATAAGTACAAAATTATACGAAAAGTCGAAGGGCATTTTCAACTGTTATCGATTATTTATTAGACTGTCGCATTTAATTTGACAACAAAAATTTACATACATATCTTTAATTATATAGTTTATATATTTATATATTAAATATATTAAAGCTTATATGCTAGTAAAATAAAAAAAGATTTTTAATTTTCTGTTTTACTTTTAATTATCATTTTTTAAACAGTAATTTATTTTTAATTTAAAAATTAACAAAAAATTAATCAATTTAAAAAATTAATGAAATAACGATGAAAAAACAGAAAGTTTTTACGATAATAATAACTTGATTAATTAATTTATAATTGCTGTTCTAATTACATATATATATATATATATATATATATGTATGTATTATAATATCTAAACAAATAAACAACTTTAATGGTTCTTTAATTTTCTTATTTTGGGAATTTCCGTAATAGAAATTATAATTATAATTAGTTGATATATTATATCATTATAAGGAATTATTTTCCGATATATAGATAATTATTAAAAATTCTTTCAAATTAAAATTATATTTTGAAAATATTAGAAAAAACTCTAGAGGAAATTTGTAATTTATATATCAAATGCATGCGTATATATATATATATATATATATAGAGTTTGCTGTTATAATGGAGGAATCATGCGTGGACCAGAGAAATCAATAACTTTGCTTGACCAATGAACTAAAGATTACTAAAAGCAACAACTCCATTTTCTCTAATTCGAAATTTCTACTCTTCAATGACTGAAATTAATTTCTAAAAAATATTAATTATCTATTAAATAATTTTCGGAATCTTTCAATGTAATATTTGAAATATTCTGAGGATTTTAATACTAGAAAAATTATTAATTTGTATAAATTTTTATAAAACCTCAGACTGTTGGCTATTATTTTTTATAAATAATAATAAAAATTTACATGTTATATAAAAATGTCAATTTATTATTAATATTTCAATGGAAAATTTATTTTTCTTCACATATATTTTAATGAAATAATATTATAATTATATCAAAATCTGATGTAAATTTTTTACCTATAATTACAAAGAATGGAAAGTTTTACTAATTCAGCGATTTTCGCATAAAGAATAAATAAATTTCTATTCTCGTGTTCGTAACATTTAGAACTTCTAAATAATGGATGCCAAATTAATATTCATTAAAATTTTATTTGGAGGGAATCACGAATTAGAATTTAACCTTTCTGACTTGCAATGAATAGTTTTATAAGGAGGTTGAGGGGGGGTAGAAGTGCGAGGGGGTCACAGCAAGGTGATTATAGTTTATCTAAGCAAATGAATGCGAGCTTAATTTCGTTTGATGCATTGTAATGTGTTTGCAAACTGTCTTCTTGCACGCTATACGTTTTACAATTCTAGGCTTGTAATTAAAAAACAAAAAACGAAAAGAAAACAAATAAACAAATAAAAATTAGAAAAATATAAAAAAATAGAACAAAAGAAATTATAATATATATATATATATATATAAAGTGTACCTGTGTTTCAGTGAGGTGAAGCGAAGAGGAAAATTCCGCTCTTTCTGCTATCGTTAAATATTGTTTCTCGCGAAATTTTTTTTCCAATGAAAGCAGCTGTTGCGTTGTAAAAGGTGTTCTTGGTTTTCGATTGGGTTTATGCTTTCTTAAGGTACATCTCACTGGTCCGGGACCTGGACCTGGCAATCTTAAATCACCTATAAAAGAGAGAAAAAATATTATTAATTAATTTCCACATTAAATAAATATAATAAACATTAATAATTAATTTTACTTAATTTAATTTAAAATCTTTCTTTTAAGTTATAACTTTAAATGAATTTTAAAGAATCGAAGAAAATTTCATTACTCTCTAAATTTGAATTAGTGAAAAGTGAGCTACTAATTTTTAGTAAAATATTACTATTTGATTTAGTAATTTTTAATTTTTTTTTTACTAAAGTTTTAGCAAAAAGTGAAATTAGTAGCTCACTTTTCACTAATTCAGATTTAAAGAGTTGATTTTAAAAGTAAAAAATTTCAAACTGAATGTTCAATAAATGATATATATATATATATGACAATTATTTAAACTTGCTGTGTTTAATTCAAATTATCGTGTATTTCGTGTATAGAATTTTTAAAAAAGATCATATTGCAAATATAGAAGTCGAGGGCAAATGATTTTGCAACTATAATTAATTATGCAATAATTCGACTATATACCTACACTAAGGCGATAATAAAAAATTTCATATTCCGCATATAATTGAAAGAGAGTTTTCAACTTGTCAGTCGAATTACAAATACAATAATTTATACAAATCGTTTTACATTCAAATTTTGTTTCTTTAACGAAGGAAAAAAATATAACTCTCACACTATAAAAAGTAAAACATTATTAACAAAAAAAAAAAAAAATAACAAAACAAAAAAAATTTAAAATTCATTATTACAAAAAATGTGATATTAATAATTCTTCAAAATGAATAAAGCAATAAAGAAATTAAATAAGATAAAAATTTGTATAATCAACAATTAATTTACTGTTTCTTAATGATTTCTGTCACTTTAGTTTCAAATAAATATATATATATATATATATAATCGGTAATCAGACGTAATTATCAATCAAGTTGGAATTTGTATCGTTTTCTGATGAGTCGAAAATTGTTACAAGAAACATATATATGTATATTGTGTATATATATATAAAGATATGTGTCTCCTTATGTTGCTTAGAAAGTGCATAGTCTCTCTCGTTTAAGAATGGACAGTAAAAAGAAAGTGAAAACACCCAATACGGAATTTATTTCCATTTACATTTGCACAGCGGATACCTGCTAATGAGCAACATACACATTGGGCAATAGAGATTATAAGCGCTCTTTTTTTTCAATTCTTATGGTATTCCAGGATTTTCAATGGACTCTTATTTGAAAGTATCATCAGGTCATCGACTATATTTCATTACACGCACATTTACAATATATATTACTTGGCATTTAAGGAATTGACTTTTGTCCACTTTGCATTCTGATAAATAAACACCGACCATTTATAGCAACTCTTAACATTAGAAAATTTATATCTTATACACACATAAGTTTATTACATGAAAAATGATGGAAATTTTATAATTTCAGTTACAAATAGTTTATCTAGTAATTAGTACCTTCACGATAAGAAAAATTATTATATATTATCCATCAAATAAATATATTAAATAAAATAATTTTTTTTTAGTAATAATTTACTCTCTAAATTTGAATTAGTGAGAATTAATTGTTCACTAATTTAAATTAATCAAAATTCCTATATTAATTTTTAGTCATTTTTCACTAAAACTTTAGTAAAGAAAAGAAAAAAGATTACTATATCAAATAGTAATATTTCACCAAAAATAAGTGAAAATTTCTACTAACTTGAATTTATTAGTGTATACAAATTCTCAAAAATTCAAATTTAAAGAGTGTTAAAAAGAATTAATGACAATATTAGTTACAAAATTTGAATAATTTATTTAAATTTACAAACAGGTGATAAACCCTTTACAAAGTTTAAAGAAATAAGAGACGCAGCATTACATCTTAAAAATAGTTGTGCGCAAAGTATAGCAATAAACCTATTTAAATTAGTATCAAAGAAATTCAAGGAATCATTATATATTGATTTCCCTCTCTACACAGTCGACTGATAATAGAATTTCTTCCATAATTGAATAATAATATTCATATTCAGAAATTTATAATCAAATTAAAAAATTATAATTATAATATTAATTGTGGTATTAATTTTACTAAATACTTATAATTAATGATCAAATCTATATGAAGATTGTAATCGAAAAATTTCTTTTTATATAAAGTGTGTCAAAGAACTTTTTTTTTTATTAATAATTAAAAGATCATTTTTAAATTATAAACAAGTTTAGAATAAATTTTTATGTAATAAAAATTTTATATCTATACGGAATTTGCTATTAATTACTTTAATGTTATTCATTTTATAAAAACAAATCGTTACTAAAGCTTACAAGATATTCCGAAAATGAAATAACTTTATATATTTTCACCGACGGTTGTGAACGCAAAATTCCGAGTTCTTGCAACACTAAAATAAATTAATTTCTCATAAAATAAATAAATTTATCATCTTTCTTTAAATCAAAGAATAAATTTCAATATTCGATGTAAAAAAAAACACTTTTTTTTATTTATTGAAACTTGCTTCAATTAAAACATAGTTTTTTTTGTAAATTAAAAAATTAATAAAGAAAAATTTCTTTCTGATACAATATTAACTTAAAAATAAAAAAAAAAAACAAAAATTAAAAAAATTATCAATTTTTTTCGTGCTTAAATTTGTTAATGAATTAATAAAAAAAATTAATTAAATTTAATGACATATTAATTTAGGAACAAATTAGTCAGAAAAAAAAATTAAAAACGAAAATTTAAAAATATTAATATAGAATATTGAAAATCAGTCGTTTAATTTAATTAACAAACAATTTATGCAGATAATTTATAAATATTAATTTTTTAATTAAAATATTTTTTTGACTCTTTTTTTCTCTACTCCGCGAGAAAAAAAATGGGCCGGGCTTCTCTCTCTTTCTCTCTTAGAAGAGGATATAGGCAAATAAAACTGCTTTGATCAAAATAAACGTTGCATTTCACGTGATTTGAATCTGTTCACGCCCTGTGCTGTGATTTATAGAACCTTTCACATTCGGTTCCTATTTCGCAAAACCTTTCTCACAAATGCAATATTTCTAAAGAAAAAAAAAAAGAAGAAAAAAACGACATTTTTCTATTAAAACTCGATAAATTCTCAGCGAATATAAAACCCATATACTCAAAACCAATTCAGGTAAATAATAATTTTTAAATATCCGAATTAAATATGGGGAAATATTAATATTTAATTAATATTCATTTCTTCTTTATACGTGTATAAAAAAAAATGGTTCTATATTAGTCAAGCATCATTTAAATCTCTAATATTCTTTCATGTATAGAAGAATTTCGAAATTTCCTGCATTACTATACTACAATTTTAATTAATCATTATAATAATTAATAAATTTTTTGTTTCTTTTATAATTTCAAATTTAATTTTTCAAATAATTTCCAGGGAATTCGATACACATATTATATGGTTTCGAATGTGTATATAATATTAAAAGCGTTTAATAAATTTTTCGTAAATCGTGAAAAGAAGCTAATTAAAATGATCATATCCACCTGGAAGGTATCTCCTCTCAATTTATCCAACAGCACTAATATATTATTCTTTATAGTCGATAGGGCGAGGATGAAATTGATCGATAAATTTTAACGGTCCAAGGATAACTTCGTGAGCCGTTAACGAATTAATACCACTACCTATATATATATATATATAGTGTTTGCGAGCATTCCATAAAGATAATTATACGAGTTTGTTATTGGCATATAACACTAGGTCACTTTCCAGCAGTCGGTATATATTTAATTTAAATTTATTCCAATTCCTGAAACAATCGTTGATAATCGCTCGATGTCGTTTAATATCTCAACTAATAAACTATACAAGAGGCATATGTGTAACAGTGCTCCAATTAACGGATTTTTTCTCATTTCAAATATATTATAATAAAGAAAGAGTTTCCAGATAGTAATTTTATTTTTTACATTAATTTGCTGACGAGTATAATATTTCTTATTGTTATGTCTCCTTCTTGTATCTATATTTATTAGCCGATTGTTTAATTATTTATAATTGAAATTAAAAATCATTATTAATTTAATATATTTATTTAACGCTTTATGATGACAGGGACCTTTGATGCAAAACAAATTTTAGGTTATGTTTGTGACTTTTTGAGTAGCGAATATTTTTGTTTTCTAAATATTGTCTTCAAGACGATACGATTTTGCCTATTGTCGAACCAACCTTAAGGAATTCTCCCACTTTCCATAGAAAGTGATGATGATATTTCTTCTTTGTACGACGTCATACTGAGTTAGTGATTTGAGTACCTCTAATGTGAAAATGTTGTAACTCAAGAATTTTCACTTTTTTCGTCTGATAAATACAAAAAGTATGTAGAAATATACGCAGTCTTTTTTGAATTTATTAAATTCACATGTCCGCCATTTGTAATAATTCATTGCTCACCTGAGTTGCAACAGTTTCCCCGCAAGAGCGCTAATATCGCTAAGAAGACTCGGAATAACGTACACAAAAAATTGTCTTCAAAATTTTTCGAATGTACCCATAGAGTGGGAGCTCCTTTTTACTATATATACACCAATTCTTAATAAAAAAAAAAAAAACAATTGAAGTTTAAATCTTCATTAATTCAAAAATACACGGAAAAAAAGAAAAAGTAATTTTTACTACTTTCATAGTAAAATTGGAACTGTCCGAAGTTTCTGTGCATCTCTGGCAACTTTTACTCAAAAAATAGTAAAATTTACTATTTTTGTAATAATTTTTACTATTTCTGGAGTAAATTTTACTATTTCTGGAGCAAATTTTACTATTTTTGGAGTAAAAGTTGCCATAGATGCGCAGAAACTTCGGACAGATCCCATTTTACTATGAAAGTAGTAAAAATTACTTTTTCTTTTTTTCCGTGTATTCATTAAAAATTGATTTTAATTTTACATAATAATTAAAAATGAATGTTTAAACAAGGTAAAACCAGCACTAAACATAACCTAAAATT